AAGTGTCCTAGCTCTGTATACCCGACTGGGCTGGAACTCACGGAGATTCACCTGCCCTTGCCTCCTGAGTGCTGGAATTAAAAGTGTGTGCTACCACCGCCCAGCTTTCTTTCTTTTTTCTTAATACAAGTAGTTCTTTCTGTATTAGAAGCCTCTGTAACTCAGGGTTTTTCCTACTGGTTATGGGGAATTCTGCTGCTATTTTTGCTTCTGTCTTGTTTTGTCATCTGTTGTTGATGACCGTGTCTTGTTAAGATCGGGATGATTTCTCTCAAGGCTTGTTTTGTTTTTTATATGTATAGATGTTTTGTCTACATGTGTGTCTATGCACTGTGTACATAACTGCTGGCTGAAGAGGCCGAAAGATGGCAGTAGATTCCCTGGAACTGGAGTGCCTGCCAGTTGGGAGCTACTCTGGTTGCTGGGAATTGAACCCAGGCCCTTTTAACTGAGCCATCTTTCCTGCTTTTGTTTTGTTTTGAAAGACAGAGTCTGTGTATTCCTGGCTTTCTTGGAACTCTGTATAGACCAGAGCTGGTTTCAAAGTCCCAGAGATATGCTTGTCTCTTTCAAGTGCTGGAATTAAAGGCTTTCGACATTATGTCTGTCCTAGCTCAAGTTTTTAACATTGGAGTTCCTGGAAATGTAGGGTGATTTGCCTAGGATGGAGAGCAAGGAGAGAACTCTTCTTAGGAGTTAGTAGTAATAAGAGGAATGAGCTGGGCGTTGGTGGCGCACGCCTTTAATCCCAGCACTTGGGAGGCAGAGGCAGGCGGATCTCTGTAAGTTCGAGACCAGCCTGGACTACCAAGGGAGTTCCAGGATAGCCTCCAAAGCCACAGAGAAACCCTGTCTCGAAAAACCAAAAAAAAAAAAAGATAAGAGGAGTGAGATAACCTCTGTATTCAGTGGCTATCCAAATAAGATTCCAGAGTGTGGAGTTCACTGATATTTGACATTTACCCATTGTCCTATGTTAGCGGGACAATGTTAGTGTATAGAAAAGTTTTTCAGTGCATTACCTGAATATAGATCATTGGTCTTTTTCCCTCTTAGCCCTGTAAGATAGAGGTGATTTTATATGTGTGTAGTATATATTTTGTGTGTGTGTCAGCACATTTGAGAACCATAATCTACATCCATTGATAATAGCAAACTCACTGGGCTAGGTACCTTGTGCCTACAGTGCCCGCTCTCATGAGATCAAACAGGAGGATCCAGACCAGCCTGGGCTATGTGTGTCTCAGAATGAAGCAAGCCAGATGAATTTACTCAGGTGTAAAACAAGCTCACCTGTAATCCCAGCACTCAGGAGTCCACAAGAGGAGCATTGATTCAAAGCCAGCCTGTGCTACATGAGATCCTGTCTATCTCAATAAATAAATTGAATTCAGATCTCTGAGTTTGAGGGATCCTCACCTGCTCTACAAAGTGAGTTCCAGGACAGCCAGAGCTGTTATACAGAGAAACCCTGTCTTGAAAAACCTGGATGAATAAATAAATAAGATGAGCAAACTCAAGGCAGCAGCATGTGAGGTTTGGAGAGGCCTCTTGTTGAACTGGGTGCTTCCCCTTCCCGCTAGAGGGAACCATGGCTGTCAGCCAGCTTTCACCAAGTTTTACCAGCTCTTTCTGGCTTTTGCCATGAAGGAACTGACCTATTGAGTGAAGCTCTGCCTGACTCACCTGACAGTGAGGTGACTACTTGTGGCAAGCAACCAGAAGCCAAAATCCCTGCAGCCACACCTCCAGGGTAGGGGAGGAGCTGGGAGGTAGACATTCAAAAGTGATCTGTCTGCCCCATCAGTGACTGACCTGAGGGTACTGTGCAATGCTCTATGGGAACCACGGTAGCTGAGTGGAGGCATGTGTGGCTTGGATGTGGCCTTTCTCCAGCACCTCCGGTCTAGAGCTGCTCATGCCACCAGTGGAGATTGTAGGGGTCCAGGTCCTCATGATTATGTATATAGTGTTCCAGAATATCCTTGGCTGTAGAGCAAAAACGCTATCTCAAACAAACCTGTGATCCCAGCATTCTGGTAGAGAGCAGAAGGAACAGGACATAGTGAGTTCAGGAACAACCTGTACCATAGGTGATCCTTTTGCAAAAAAGCTAAAAATGACACCCCTCTCAAGAAAATAGGAAGTTGAGGTTTATTTCCTGTTTTATTGTTAAAGGAAATTCTCCATTCACCATTCCCTAGGATTTGACTGGTTCTTACTGTGATTCATTCTGGCTGAACAAGAGGTGTTTTTTTGGTTTTTGATTTTTTTTTTAAGATTTGTTTTATGTGTGCATTCCCTATTTGAATATATGCCTGCAGGCCAGAAGAGGGCATCAGATCCTATGTATAGATTGTGAGCCACCATGTGGTTGCTGGGAATTGAACTGAGGACCTCTGGAAGAGCAGTCAGTGCTCTTAATCTCTGAGACATCTCTCCAGCCCCCTGGGCAAGAGTTTTGACACTTGGTGGTAAATTATAACCAATACAATTCTGTTTGTTTTTTGTTTTCCTTTTTTGGGGAAGGGTCTCACATGGCTCATGCAGCCTCAGACTGGATTTTGAATTTTTGATCCCTCCCTCTATATACCTTCCAAATGGTTCTATTGTTATAGGCCTGGGTGGCCATGACACCTGGCTCTTTTTTCAAATACTTGATTTCACTCTGTAGCCCAGACTAGCCTGGAACTTGACTCTTCCTGCTTCATCCTTTGTATATAAGCATGTCACCACCTTGCCATACAAGAGCTACCACACACACACACACACACACACACACACACACACACACACACACACACACACACACTGGGTTTCTCTGTGTAATAGTCCTGGCTGTCCTGTAACTCCCTTTTAGATCAGGCTGAGATCTGCCTGCCTTGATGCCTCCCAAGTGCTGGGATTAAAGGTGTATGCCACTACCACCCTGCCTGAGACTGGCGCATTTTTAAGAAGTATTAAATTTATTGCCTATGTACAAATCAGTGTCTTACATGCTTTAGAAATTTTAAATTTTATGTGTATGGATGATTTGCCTGCATGTGTGTCTTCATACCACCTGGTTCCCATGGAGATTAGAAGAGGGGATACAGATCCTCTGGTGCTGGAGGTCTGGATGTTGTGATCCACTATGTGGTGCTGCATCCAAACGGCTGAGCCACCTCTCCAGCCCCGCTGCATGCTTTCATGCGAACGATTTCCTGTAGTTTATTTAACTGTTCTGAAATTGGCCTCCTGTGTGTGAGGGTACATGTACATGTGGAGGCCAGGGACAAGTTTGGGTGTCTTTTGTTATTTATTGTCTGCTTTAATGCCTGGGGACAGGAAGGCTCACCCTTTCCTGGCTAGGTTGACTGGCAAGATTCTAAGTTCTAGGTACAAGCTGTCATGCCGTTTTGTTGTTATTTTTCTTTTCTTTTTTGATAACTGCTGTATTTTTACAGGACACTAGTTATAAACTAGAAATGCATTTAAAATAAATGTTAACATCCTGAAAAGAACTGACAGATTACATTTATTTGATAACAAAATGCCTAGTGATTTAACAAAACACAATTTAGTATTGATGTCTGGCTTTTATGAGGGTGCTGGAGATTTGGACTTGGTCTTTATTATGCTTGCAGAGTAAACTTGCCCACTGAGTCATCTCACAACCCTAAAATTGGCTTTTTATTACCATTTTAGAGATTAGAAAATGGCCCTATACTAGGTCTCATAGCCAAAGTAATGGAATAAAAATGGCAGACTTAGGACTTACTGTGTTTTTTGTTTTTGTTTTTTTCATGTAAACTGTAGATTGAAATTTTCAATTTCAATTAGGTCAGACTGGGCGTTAGTGGCACACCTTTAATCCCAGCACTTGGGAGGCAGAGGCAAGTGGATCAAGTTCGAGGCCAGCCTGGTCTACAAGAGCTAGTTCCAGGAGAGCCTCCAAAACAATACAGAGAAACCCTGTCTCAAAAAACAAACAAACAAAAAAATTAGGTCTGAAGTCCAAGTCTGGATTTCCATTAATTTGTTTATTTTGTGGACATGGTCTCTTTTGTTTAAGGCTGGACACAAACTCTTCCAGCTGAGGGTGATCTTATTCTGATTCTCATGCCTCCGCTTCCTGGGTGCTGGGATTGTTAATTTATTTTTTTGCATATGGGTGTTTTGCCTGTGTGTATGACTGTACCATCTGTGCCTGGTACTCATGGAAGCCAGAAGAGGGCATTAGATGTCCTTGAATTAGATGGTTGTAAGCAGCTGGTAACTCCTGGTTCTCTGGAGGAACAGCCAGTGTTTTTGCTTGCTATAAAAGTGCCAGGAGTAGTGGCACAGGCCTTTTAGCCCAGAACTTGGGAAGCGGAAACAAGCTGATCTCTGAGTTCAAAGCCAGCCAGAGCTCTATGAAAATACCTTGTCAAAAAAAGGGAAAAGTGAAAGTGTTATCTGTGTATGTATCTGTATCTATAGTGTGTGCTCACACAGTTACAGAAGCAAGCAGGATACCTGGAATAATGGTGTTATGTTTCAGTTCAAGTCCATAAGCCTGAGAGCCTGAGAAGTACCAGTGTCGGTCATGGTATTCAAAGGCTGAGGTCTGTGTTTGGAGAAGAGTATTTTCTAGCTGGGAGAGACAGAGACTAATTACCTTTTCTGGTTTGCTGATGGGGTTAGACCCAGATTCTAATTGCTCTTGGGAAAACTGTTACCTTAGGTATTTTTAGTCTCTCGTTAAAGCTTGCCTCTAATTTCCTTAGCTTTTCTTTAAAATGTTCAATTTTATGTGTATGTTTAATTTTATGCTTTGCTTGTGTGCCCAGTACCTGCGGAGTCTGGAAGTGAGCATTGGATTCCCCAGAACTGGAGATGCCTGGGATGGTTGTGAACTGCCATTGGGTGCTGGGATTGAAACCAATGAGCTATCTCTCTAGCTCCTCCATTGCTGGTCTTAAGTAGTTGTCTGTCAGTTGCTTTGTAGATATTCTATGTACTTTTAAAACCAGAAGGGATGACAAGGTGGGATGATCCTTACTAATCCTCTTGTCAGGGGGTAAGACAGAACATGAATAAAATTTGTATCAATTGTGATTAGTATCTTTGTATAATCAGGACATGCAACACCCTGCTTGTTCCTTTCTGATTCTCTGGAAAAGCAAAATAAGTTGGAAGGGTTAAAAATGCTATTTTGAAAGGCTGCAGCTGCCTGTAGGCTGTCCTAGACTGGACAGGTTAGGTGATGCTAAAAGACTAAGTAATGGAGTTTGTTTGTTTGCTTGTTTGTTTTGGGAAAGGTTGAGACAGGGTTTCTCTGTGACAGTCCTGGCTGTCCTTGAACTCACTGTAGACCAGACTGGCCTCGAACTCAAAGAGATCAGCCTGCCTCTGTCTCCCCAGTGTGGGGATTAAAGGAGTGAGTTGCCACTGCCCAGCTGTTATGGCGATTTCTTAACAACATCTGTAATAGGCCAGTTTTCTTGGGGGCCACTCACAAATACTGACAGTTAGATCTACGATCTACAGGGACTAGATGCTCTGAGTAACAGCTGTGCTGTCCAGGAACCTGGGTATGTGAGAGAAACTAGTGATGCTGAGGATTGGAGAAGCAGGCCTCTGCCAGGCTATTGTGACCTGAGAAAGCTTTATGCAAACCATCTCAAAAGGTGAAAGTGGAGAGAAGAGTCCCTGCAGCTCCTTGGTACAAAGGAGGGAAGGGTGCTAATAAGGGTTTTGTCTTGATCTTTTTGCAGAATTCATCCTGCCTTGTTCTTGCTGTCCGGCATGCCAGTGCTGCTTCCACGGTAAGATCTGGCAAAGGAGTACAGAATCCTTGCAGCAATCTGACCTCAGGATAGAGTGTTTGGCAACTACTTGCCTTATTATCTTAAATCTATTGGAATTAGCCAATAATTGGTATTGCTATGATTATTATTACTAGTTTAAGAAATTTTTTTTAAATTATGCACATTGGTGTTTTGCCTGCTTGTATGTCTGTGAAGGTGTTGGATCCCCTGGAACTGGAGTTACAGACAGATGTGAGTTGCCATGTGGGTGCTGGGAATTGAACCCTTGTCCTCTGGAAGGCCAGTGATCTTAACCACTGAGCCATCATCTCTGTAACCCCCCCTTTAAATAATTTAGTTTTTTTCTTTATTTGCATTGGTGTTTTGCCTGCATGTATGTCTGTGTGAGGGTGGCAGATCTTGGGGTTACAAACAGTTGTGAGCTACTGTGTGGTGCTGGGAATTGAACCTGGGTCCTCTGGAAGAGCAGTCAGTGCTCCTAACTGCTGAGCCATCTCTCCTGCCCCCGTTCCAGCCCCTTAAGAAATAATCAGTGGAGTGGTGCTGTGGAAAAAGTAATCCCCCCTTTTAATGTTGTACATTAAACCCAGGGCCTCACATGTGCTAGGCAAGGACTTTACCACTAAACCATACTCATAAGAGTTAGTGTTAACAGTTTTGGTTTTGTTTTGTTTGAATTTTTAATACAGGATCTTATTATATAGCCCTTTTATTAAATTTCTGAGACAGGGTGGCCTCACTCATCTTTCTGCCTCGGCCTCTTGAGTGCTAGGGTTATAGACATGCACCCACCATTCCTGACTTTTTAATCATTAATTAAGTGGACACTGCTGTCCATATCCAGCTTCATCTCTGCAAAATGGAGCTCCCTATTCCCTCCTTCCCGTGCCTGGCGGGTAGAGAAATGATGACAAGTAGTCTTCACATACCTTCTTTACAGTAGGAAGCCCTGTACAGTTTCCTTTCGCTAAACCCTTCTATTTCCCTTTCTAGAATCTGAAAGATGTACTGAGCGATCTGATACCCAAGGAGCAGGCCAGAATTAAAGCCTTCAGACAGCAGCATGGGAAGACAGTGGTGGGCCAGATCACCGTGGACATGGTAAGGACTGCGGAGGCATCTTAGCTGTTAGGGAGCCGTTTTCTTCACTAGTGTTGTGTTCTGTACAGTAAAGTGTTGGGATTCATGGTATTGGTTAGAGAGCGTTCCCCTATGAAAAAGGTGAGCATAGCTTCTGTTCTGTTCCCAGCTCTTTAGCTAGGGCTGGGACTGTCTTGATTGGTGTTGTGCCAGCCATCCAGTTACACTGTAGCCCAGCAAACCCTCTGTACAGCCTTAGGATGTCTTCCTCAGCCCTAAGAGTTTGAAACTTTTAGTCCCTGCCTCCTTCCCTTTGCCCATAATAGATCTAATCCCATAATAGATTTAATGTGGAAAAAGTTAAGAATGATCAGGAGAAAAACAGTTAAGAAAAGGAAGCAAAGGGGTATTAAAGAAATAGTAGTGACTCAGTGCAGGTGTCCAGAAATCCAACCCCCAGAAATGGCCTCCTAAGTGTAGTCTTGCAGTAAGAATTCCGTGACGCTCTGGCCACCACTCTGGTCCCAGCCAATCTGACAGTTGGCACAATTTCTTTCCTTAGATGTATGGTGGCATGAGAGGCATGAAAGGACTTGTGTATGAAACATCCGTTCTTGATCCTGATGAGGTAAGACACCGTCCCCATGGTCAGTGGGTTTGATGGTACAAACTGAACAGTGCAGCATAGGTCTGAACAGGACAAGAAAGAGCCCTTTCTCTTTAGTGCATCAGAGCACAGGGTAAGAGCACTGAATACTCATCCAGAGGTCCTGAGTTCAAGCCCCAGCAACCACATGGTGGCTCACAACCATCTGTAGGGAGATCTGGTGTCCTCTTCTGGCATGCAGGTACACATGCAGACAGAACACTGTATACATAATAAATAAATAAATCTTTTAAAAACAAAGAGAGACAGAGAAAACATATGTGAACTGGAAAGTACTGGGGGGGTCTTCTTGTTATTATTGTTTTGGTTGGTTTTTTTGAAAGAGGTCTCACTATGTAGCCTTGGCTGGCCTGGAACATACAGTATACACCAGACTGGTCTTGAATTCATGGCATGTGCTTTTTTTTTTTCTTTCTCTTTTTTGCATTTTAATTGAAAAATAACAAAACACATTTATGGGGCTGAAGGGGTGGTTTAGCACTCAGGTGCACACTTAAAAATATAAGAATAGCCAGCTATGGTGGTGCATGTCTTTAATCCTAGCACTCAGGAGTTAGAGACTACCCTGTCTTCATAATGAGTAAGTGCCAGGACTACATAGACATACTCTAATAGCAAAAAAATTTAAAGAAAATTAAGTGAGTGAATATTTAAGGTCAATGTTTTTTTTCCTTGGGTTTTGTTTGTTTTCGAGGCAGGGTTTCTCTGTGGATCTTTATTTTTTATTTATTTATTTATTTTTTGGTTTTATGAGACAGGGTTTCTCTGTATTGTTTTGGAGGCTGTCGGTCCAGCCCGGCCTCGAACTCACAGAGATCCGCCTGCCTCTGCCTCCCGAGTGCTGGGATTAAAGGCGTGCGCCACCACCGCCCGGCCTTTATTTTTAGACAGGGTTTCTCTGTGTAGTCTTGGCTGTCCTGCTCTGTAGACCAGGCTGGCCTTGAACTCAAGAGTTCTGCCTGCCTCTGCCTCCCAAGTACCAGAATTAGCGGTATGTACACCATGCCTGGCATTTGTTTTGTTACTTTGTTTTGTTTTGCTTTTTTGGTTTTTTGTTTGTTTAACATATTTGTAACATTTTTAAAATACAGACTTTTTTTACTTTGTGTGTGCATGTTCATGTATGTGCCCAGGTACAGGTGTGTAGGTCAGACAGCAGCTTGTGGGAGTCAGTTCTCTTGCATCACTGTGTGAATCTCAGGGATCAAACTCAGGCCATCAGGCTAGTGTCCCATGTGTTTACCTACTGGAATATCTGGCATGACTAGGACCAGTCTGCTATATGCTGACAGATTAATACATTTGGTTGTAATTCTGTCTTCTCTCTCAAGGGCATCCGTTTCCGGGGTCACAGTATCCCTGAATGCCAGAAACTGCTTCCTAAGGCTAAGGGTGGGGAAGAACCCCTGCCTGAGGGCTTGTTTTGGCTGCTGGTAACTGGACAGATGCCTACAGAGGAACAGGTATGGTCAGCATTGGCTCCCATTTCTCTGCCTTGCTTTTCTCATTTATAGAGCGCTTTGAGAAGGAACCAGCAGGGTCTGACGTGCTAAGCAGTTGTACTGGCCCTGTGATTATGTTTACGTGGGTATTAATTACCGTTCTGTGTTTGAGTGGGTCTGCTTTTTCACAGGTGTCTTGGCTCTCACAAGAATGGGCCAAAAGGGCAGCTCTGCCTTCTCACGTGGTCACCATGCTGGACAACTTTCCTACTAATCTGCACCCCATGTCTCAGCTCAGCGCGGCCATCACAGCCCTCAACAGTGAAAGTAACTTTGCCCGGGCGTATGCAGAGGGCATCAACCGAACCAAGTACTGGGAGGTAGGAACCCTGAGTGAGGTAATTGGGCGATCATGGGGTTCAGAGCACGTGATTTCTCCAGGAATCCACCTCACAGACGGCTAGAAACTGGGATCACAGAGCACATGCCATGAGTAAGGCCCTGAGTTGGTCCCCAGTACTAAAACAGAAATTCACTGTAGGCCAATAGACGCGTTTTCTGTACATTCTAAAGATAGAGCGTTGTTTCTTCTTTTGTCCTAGTTGTGTGTTTACTTTGTACACTGCTCCTCATACAGTGTGGGTACCAGGTATCAAACTCAGTCTGTCAGGTGCCATCCCACCAGCCCCAAATAAGGGGAGCTTTCATGTCACCTCAGAGTTTGGGTGAACGGTAGATAATCACACTGTGGTTTAGGAGGACTAATGCCTGTCACATTCTGAGTTAGAGCCAAGATACTGTCTGGAGAGGAGAGATACTGAAACACTTGATTTTCTGAAAATGCAAAGTGACCTCACTAGTTTGAATCCTGTTTTTGGTGTGTGGAAAGGCCACAGTTTTGTCCAGTGCACAGCACAGCACACACTACTACCTTCCTTTTCCAATTTTACACATGCTGCCAAGTCTAAGTTACGTAGCTAGGTTTAAGAGGACGTGTGTAGGCCGGGCGTTGGTGGCACACGCCTTTAATCCCAGCACTCGGGAGGCAGAGGCAGGCGGATCTCTGTAAGTTCGAGACCCAGCCTGGACTACCAAGGGAGTTCCAGTACAGCCTCCAAAGCCACAGAGAAACCCTGTCTCAAAAAAAAAAAAAAAAAAAAAAAAAAGAGGACGTGTGTGTGGGTGTGTGTGTTCCTAAACGGTATGTGTGGAGGCAGGAAGGGCATTTGATCCTCGGAACTGGAGTTACCATTAGCTCCTGTGCTGTGTTGGCAACTGAACCTGGGCCCTCTCCAAGAACAAGTGCTCTTAACTGCAGAGCCATCTCTCCAGCCCCGTGTTTCGGGTGACTGTTCAGGCAAATGCCAAATATCAAACCTAGGCCTCCTTCATGCTGGGCACGTTTCCTATCAAAGTATATAATATATATAGCATAATATGTATCTAAATCTTTGAAGCTTTTGTTATTCAATAATTGGTCAGCATTGTTTGGTGCTTATCATATATAATAAATTTTCACTGGAAGCTAAAATACAGAATTAAATTAAACATTAACATAAAGAATTTTAGGAAATGGGCCAGTGAGATGGCTCAGCAGCTAAAGGTACTTGAACAATCCCAGAATTCTGCCACATAAAGGTGGCAGGAAGAAGGGACTTCAGAGTAATCCTCAGACCTCATCGTGCACTATGGCATGTGTAGCCCCCGTCCCCTTACACGCACATTATACACACACAATAGTAGTAATAAATTTTAAAAATTAAAGCTATAAAGGTGACATCTTAGCATGTCCGTTTAGTGCAACATTAGTGTCCTGAGAAGGTCACAGTGCAGCAGGACAGGGTTCAGATCTCACTTGAATTAATACTTACTGAGCTCCTCTGTGAGTGGACAAGGTAAGTCCAGTAAAATGGAAACAGTGGAGAATGGTGTGTTATCACGCAACAGATGCTAGAAACCTTGGTTGTAGTTGTCTGCTGGCACGCGGTTATTCTAACCCTTGAGACACATAACCAGCATACAGTGTCAACAGCACAAACAGTATTGCAGCCTAATGCCTTGCATGTAATTCCCTTTTTCTCCATCTTTTCTTTCATCAGTTGATTTATGAAGATTGTATGGACCTGATTGCAAAGCTACCTTGTGTTGCAGCAAAAATCTACCGGAATCTTTACCGGGAAGGCAGCAGCATTGGGGCCATTGATTCTAAGCTGGACTGGTCCCACAATTTTACCAACATGTTAGGCTATACTGAGCCACAGTTCACCGAGCTTATGCGTTTGTACCTCACTATCCACAGGTGAGCTAGCGTTAGTAATTATGTCCCTCAGGTGCCTGGATTGATGGGAAACTCTTGGTTGTTTGTGAGGCAGGATTTTTCTACATAGCCTTGCCTGTCCTGACCTCCCAGATGCCAAGACTAAAGGTGTGTAACACCATGCCCAGCAAATGGGGGGGTGGGATAGGTAGGGGTACATTTAAAAAGCTCCTTTGCCGGTTGGTGGTGGTACACACCTTAAATCCCAGCTCTCAGGAGGCAGAGGCAAGCGGATCTCTGTGAGTTCAAGGCCAGCCTGGTCTACAGAGTGAGTTCCAGGACAGGAAACAGATGGTCTGTAGCAGAGGGATAGAAGCATCTTGTAAGATGGGAAGTGGGCAGAGATGAGGGAGAAAAGCTGAAAGGCCGAGGCAAACCCCTCTCCTGATTGGGAAAGGCAGTTCTGCTTTCTGGGTGCGCCCTCTTGTGGTCATTGTCATTAGAATGGGATCGGTAGCTGAGAGCAGTTTGCCTAATGCATGCTTTGAGGGCTGCAGTTGACCCTGACAGTGGAGGTGGGATGAAGAAGCCTGGGTGTGGGAGAGGGAGCAGGCCAGCTGACTGCTGTGCTGTGAGCGCTGTCTGTGTTCCATAACCAGCCCTTTTCTTTCCCTTTGGCTCTGCGGTGTGTCCCCACAGTGACCATGAGGGTGGTAATGTCAGCGCCCACACAAGCCACTTGGTGGGCAGCGCCCTTTCAGATCCTTACCTGTCCTTCGCAGCAGCCATGAATGGGCTTGCAGGGCCTCTACATGGACTAGCAAATCAGGTGAGGCTGGCTTTTCTTCTCCCTGTTGTGTGTTTTTACGCACATGCTCGGCCCCTAATGTTGACATTCTTTCCTCGACGTGTGTGCTGACGTCCCTCTTCCCCACACGAAACCTACCATGTAGGAAGTGCTTGTCTGGCTAACACAGCTACAGAAGGAAGTCGGCAAAGATGTGTCAGATGAGAAGTTGCGAGACTACATCTGGAATACACTCAACTCAGGACGGGTAAGCAACCAGGAATTGAGTCTGAGACCCAAACACTGCAGTTTGAAAGAAAATTCCAGACTATCTAGACCTTTGTGTGGGGGGGATTAAAAGCAGCCCCCTGCATTAGCCAGAAAGGCCGTCTTTCCTATTGTTTCCCCATTTATTTACTTGGTGGGTTTAGTTTTCTTTTCTGTGATGCTCAGGCTTGACCCCAGCATGTTTTGGCTAGACAGGGTGCTCTGCCACTGAGCTATATTCCCAGCCCTTACATTATTCTTTTATTTTGAGACAGGGTTTCACTGAACTGCCCAGGCGGACTTGGAATTTACAGTCCTGAGTGAGCCACCAGAACCAAATTACCTTAAAATGAAAGGGGAATTGTGTGCCTAGATATGCTTCTCTGTAATTTTTCCACCCTGTCCTTTACAGGTTGTCCCAGGATATGGTCATGCAGTGCTAAGGAAGACTGACCCACGATACTCCTGCCAGAGGGAGTTTGCTCTGAAGCATCTGCCTAACGACCCCTTGTTCAAGCTGGTTGCTCAGCTGTACAAGATTGTGCCCAACATCCTCTTAGAGCAAGGGAAGGCAAAGAATCCTTGGCCCAACGTGGACGCTCACAGTGGCGTGCTGCTGCAGGTGAGCCTTTCTCTCCTGCTTTCCCTCTGCTTGTACCACATCAGCTCCTAATCACAGCAGGGGCTCGGGACCCAAAGCCTCCTGTGTGGCCCTTGAACTCCGAGCTGCACTGCCTCTGCCTCCCCAGTGCTCTGAATTAAGATGTGCATGCACCACCAGGCCTGACGCTCTCTAATTTAGTTGTGGTGAATGGCTGTGTGTGCATGTGCGCGCGTGTGTCTGTCTGCCGGCACACTATGTGCGTGGATGCCAGAGGTGATTAAGTGTCTTCCTCTGTTGCTTTCCATCTTTCTTTCAGAGACAGGGCCTCTTACTGAACCTGGAGGTCATTAATTCCACTGGTTGGTGACAAACTCCAGGGGTCTTCTCTCTCATGGGGTTTCAGACTCATGCCACTACACCCTGACTTATGTGCCTGCTGGGAATTCTTAGCCTTGAAAGGCAAACAATCTGCCATCCGAGCTGTTTCCTTAGCCTCTGACCTTAAGTGTTTGATCTCCTGCCTCAGCCTCTTACGTGATAAAATTTCAGGTCTACAGCCCCAGGCTCCGCTAGAGCAAGGGCTCCTTTGTCACCTCCCTCACAGAGCTCTTTTGACACAGTTGCTCCTGGCAGGGCCTGGGGAATTATTGCAATTGCTTTACTTTTCCTGATGTTCTTTCTAGTTAGGGCTGAGTGGACTAAGACTGTGGGTGAAAGGAAGAATGGGTCTCTGAGGTTCTTGTTGCCATGGCCCTGTTGGTGCCACCATCTGTCTTTTAATACAGCCTTTTCTTCTCTTCTACCTTACCAGTACTATGGCATGACGGAGATGAATTACTACACAGTCCTGTTCGGAGTGTCGAGGGCACTGGGTGTGCTGGCACAACTCATCTGGAGCCGAGCCCTAGGTTTCCCACTAGAAAGGCCCAAGTCCATGAGCACGGATGGTCTGATGAAGTTTGTGGACTCTAAGTCAGGGTAAAATGGGAGATTGGGGGACACTGACTATAAGAAAATGAGGAAGCTTAAAAATAAAGTATAATTTTGTTTTGTTTCAGGGGCCTTTAAGACTTAAGATTAAACTGTATGTGAGGCACTGAAAATACATTTGAAGTTAAAATATAAATTAGGACTTAAAGATGAAAAGCAATCCCTTCTCCCTCACCAGCTCACCTCCCTGGTATGAGTTGCCCAACAGCTGTAGGATGACCAGGACTAATGCATGTGGTCAGTTAGAGCTGGCTGCCCACCATTTCCAGAGTGAGAGTCTGGCTCCTCTTATTCAGGTCAAAGCAGGTAACAGGAAAGCTGCAGTCACTGAATGAAGCTTCTGTTTCTACTCCACCAGCCTCCACACCATCAAGGCAGGGCTGGGTCCCTTTTGTTTCAATAGGAACCCTGTTGGGTGTAGGTGGTGTCAAACCCTAGGGCCTTTTCCCGTGTACACAAGCACCTCCTAGCAAGATCCATGACCATAAGTGGCATGGTATTTATTGTGACTGCTACCCAGCATATGATTCTATTTCTCTTCTTAAATTGTACCATTGAAATTAATGTCTGGGAGTGTTCTGCTTCCTTCCAAACTTCCTATACCTGCTGTGCCTCAGCTGAGGATGCCCTGGGTCTCCCTGTCCTAGCCTCTGCTAGGGTCCTCGTACTTAGCAGGTCTGCGACCTGTGGTCTTCCCAGTCAGTCATTCGGCTTTATCAGTACTTAATGTGAACTAGGCCTTTTACTTCCATGGAACATAAGCCACTCTTCTGACCTCGGTCTCCTGTTAATATGTTCTGGCACACAGAACAAGAGTCACAAATGGCCAGCCTCTCCATGGTCTGGTCCCAGGGGTTCGAGGCTTTCTTTTTGAACAGAAAAATTACTTGCAATTGGACATAGTTTCCTTTGAATATCAGTTGAACTAGGGCTGAGGGCATTGAAAACAGTGAGCCAACTTCTCATCCCGTGTCAAGGACGTGTCCCTTTATTTATCGATGTCTTTCTCTTGCTCGTTCTAAGTCAGAGCTCACAGTGCGGTGTTTATTTTAGCAGCCCCATTTGCACAGGTTTTCAGTGACTCAGAATGCTCCACTGCCTTTTCTCTGAGAAAGGGTTGAGATACACTCCTGTTGTGCCTCCCTTGCCCCAAAACTCCTGCCTGTGCTTGTGTGGAACCCAAACCTCAGTACCACACTGTTGAGATGGACACACTGTAAACCCCTGGGTAACTGTTAAGTCATGATGCAGACTTCAGGTTGTTCTGTATAAAATGAAAAATAATAAATGTTTTTATTATCAATGCTTGAGCTTGCTATTACATGAGGCCTGAAAGAATCATGAGGTGTAAGGGATCTGGTTAGGAAGGTCTGAACTGGTGGGTGATAAATGATTCCTTTTTCGTCAGGAGAGTTGGACATTCAGAGGGAAGGCTGATTTCCAAAGATCTTGAGTCTTTCCCCAAGGTTAGGAAGTCTTTTACCTTTAACCCCATCCCTCCTAGTTTGGAAAGACTGTAACAGGCCTCACAAGTACTTGGCTGACTAATCCAGGAGCTGCTCTAGCCCACTGGGTGAAAGGAACAAGAACTGTACCAAGGACAAATGGAGAAAGACTGTTGATCCAAACATAGACACTAGAGGGAGATACTAGTTTGTCTCCTTTACCACTTTCCTTAAGGAGGCCCCCAAAATAAGGGGTGGCTTGGGGGGCATTAGATATATGGGAGGTCTAAGACCACGTGAATCTATCTTGAGACTCCTGCTATAGCTGACTTTCTGAGAAAGTCTATAAATAGGCAAGAGGGTAGGTAGTAGGCCCTGGCATACAGGGCATGCTACTATAGTTAGCAGGGACACCATGTCCAAGAGGCTGTCTTATACCTTTACTCCCCCAGGAAAGGAAGCTATGACTTTGTTCCACTCTGCTTACTATGTTATCTTCCCCTGCCCCTACCCTGAGGAACAATGCAAAAAAAAGGACAAATTCACACTGCCACAATTTATTGAAGTTTTATAAAAACTCAGACTCAGGCCACGTGGAAGAGAGAAAGGTACATCCAACAGTGTAGACAACACTGTTAAGGGTTTCCTCCTCTGCTCTGGGGCACCCATGGTGAAGCAGCTCCTCGCCTCTGTCAGACAGCATTGACAGCTTCCTAAGGTGAGGCAGGTTGCCTTTCTCTTCTGAGAAATCTTAGCAGGGTAAAAGTTGCTTGCCAGCCAGTACCTCTGTGAGAGGAAGTCACTAGATTCGCCTGACTGGGCATTAAGGTTTCTTGCCCTGGCCCAGGGACAACTACAGCCCTGGTTTTTATTGGGTGTGAACCGCCATAGCCGGATGAGGCTTTCAGAGAGCTCCTGACGCTTCCCTGTGTATCTCACTTCCATATCTGCTACCTTTGCCCACATGTCCAGCCAGCATGCAGCCCAGTATAGAAAGAATAGGGAGGGGAATGAAACTTAGACCTCTTTCTGAGCAAGAGCCAAACCAAATAAATAAAAGTGGATGGGAAGAGGGGGTGGAGACGGGAACAATCGTTTGTCTCAAGTCTGGTGCACTTCGTGGAACATCAGCTCACGGGGGATGGCTGTCTCTGGACCAAACTTGGTGGCTGCCCGGCGCTCAAAGGCAGCCACATTCTGTTTGACAACTTCATCGAAGAACATGGTTGCCAGCTGGGAGTGCAGCAGAGAGCGAAATTCAAAGGAAATCTGGAAATGCACATGAGACAGTCAGAAGCTTCAAGCCATGTTGGAAGGATGCTCATGTGACACTGCCTCCTTAGCTCCCTCCAGGCACCACTTACAAACCCCAGCTTAGAACTGAGCAAAATACAAATCTGATAGAGAATTAGACCACTGGATACGTATTGACTTGAAGTGTCTAGTGCTCAATTTTACCCTCATGCCTGTCCCAGGTCTGTGAACCCTAACTCACCGAGAAGTCTACAGTGCAGGTTCGAGGGTAGGCAGGGATACCAGGGCTGAATCGCCAAATAGTCTCCAAGTGGTTGAAGAGCTTGCCATCAGTGCAAACAGCCTAGAACAGGATACAATCTGCTAGTTAACTCCCATCGTTAAGGGTTGTCTAAAGGAGCTAGAGTGGCAGTTCTCAACCTGGGGGTCGTACATGAGCATCAGAGATCACAGATGTTCACACTATGATGCATAACAGTAGCAAAACTACAGTTATGAAGTAGCAATGAAGGGCTGGAGAGTTGTCTCAGTGGTTAAGAGCACTGGCTGCCCTTTCAAAGGACCCTGGTTCGGTTCCCAGCAACCACATGGCAGCTCACAATTGTAACTACAATTCCAGGGAATCTGACACCTTCACACCAGTGCACATGAAATAGTTAAATCATTAAAAATACTGGCTGCTCTTCCAAAGAACCCAGGTTCAATTCCCAGCACCTACATGGCAGCTCACAGCTGTCTATAACTCTAGTTCCAGGGGATGCGACACCCTCACAGACCAACAAAACACTAATATACTTAAAGCATTTTAAAAACAATGAAAATTTTATGATTAGGGTCACAACATGAAGAACTGTATTGAAAGGTTGAAGTGTTAGGAAGGCTGAGACCACTGAGCTAGAGGGCTTAGCTTGATGGAACTATTTGTGTGGTATGTGTGATGTCCTGGTAAATCAAGTAATTACAGGAAAAGCCAAAATAACCCTTGAATATGAAACTGCTAAGGGACAAGGTACCGAATCCCTCCCAGAATGGCCTCACCTTGACCATGTGTGGTTTGACCATGGAGACAGCAGAGGTATAGCGTTCTAAAACAGGTGGGAACCCAACCTCCAGTTGGGCTTTCAGGTGACCCTTGCGGCTGGATACAACCAGTGACTTTTTACACCACGGCACAAACTCACGGTACTCCTGAACGTTGGACACCACCTCATACATCTCCTGCATCGAGTACCTAGGACAAAGGAGTGGAGGGGTGACAAGGAGCTGCTGGCTGGGTCCTTGCCATCGACCCTGAAATAATATCTGCCCACAAGCCAGGAGCCCAGACAGAGAGACCTGGATGATACATTATTTTATCCCAACAGAAGCTATAGATGGCAGAGTGTCAGGTTTTTTTGTTTTTGTTTTGTTTTTTTGAGACAGGGTTTCTCTGTGGCTTTGGAGGCTGTTCTGGAACTAGCTCTTGTAGACCAGGCTGGCCTCGAACTCACAGAGATCCGCCTGCCTCTGCCTCCCGAGTGCTGGGATTAAAGGCTTGTGCCACCAACGCCCGGCCAGAGTGTCAGTTTTATTGGTAGCCAAATCTCATTTTTTAAACTTTTTTCTTTATTTTGTATGTGTAGGTATGGAACTTACGTGGAGATCAGAAAAAAAATTTATTGTGTGTGTGTGTATTTGGAACATATGGAGATCAGATAAAAAGCAGTCAGTTTTCCACTTCCATCGTTATGGATTTGAGAAATCAAACTTCACCAAGCTTGGTAGCAAGCGCCTTTACCTGCTGAGCCATTGGATTTTTGGGGGAAGGGAGGGATGGTTTTTTGAGACAGGGTTTCTCTGTGTAACAGTCTTGGCTGTCCCGGAACTTGCTCTGTAGACTCAGATCCTCCTGCCTCTGCTTCCCAAGAGCTGGGATTAAAGTCGTGTGCCCAAGCTAACCTTAAACTCACTATGGAGCACAAGTTGGCTTCAAATTCATGAACCTCCTGCCTCAGCAGTGCTGCAAACACTACAACTTCTTAATAGTGTGGCCTTGCTTAGGTAAATTACCTGTGCCTCCATTTTCTTGCCAGTAATACACTGGAGCTAATAGTACTTGGCTCATGTACTTGTGAGAACTAAATAAGACAGCGTATGTAAAGTGCCTGCTTGCATGGATGGGACGTGCAGTTGAGTTGGTAGAACACTTATGTGGCATTCATGAAGCCTGCCTTACCTTCAGTCCCCAGCACCACACAAACTGGATGTGGTGCTGCCAGGTACGTGCAGAGATGGCCCATTGGTTAAGAGCTCTGGCTGCTCTTTTCAGAGGACCCAGGTTTGACTCCCAGCACCCACATCAGGGAGCCCTCAAGCTCCAGGAGGATCAAATAACTGATCTCCAAGGACACCTGAGCTCATGTGTGTACACACCCACATACAGTTACACATAACTAAACATCGTAAATAAATACATGGCTATGGCGGTGCTCACCTGTAATTCAGCCTTAGGATTGCTTACCCATTCAACCTAACGGCTAGTACATAACAAGGGCCCAAAATAACCATTCTGGCCTTGCATGGTGGCACATGCCTTTAGTCCCAGCACTCTGAAGGCAGAGTGAAGCCCTACACTGAGTTCCAAGGCATCCAGGGCTGTGACAGACCCGACTCAAATAACGAAGTCTGTGTGTGGGAGCTGTGCTAGTCTGCACTCTGAGGTCAGGAGACAGCTCCCAAGGGTTGGTTCTCCCCTTCCACCATGTAGATCCAGGGAAGCAAGCTCGGGTCATCGTCTTGGCAGCCAGGGTCCTCTCACCAACAGCAACACCCCGTTTTTAAGTAAGGTCTAGCTGCGTAGCCTGTGGTGCAGGTTAGTGGGCTGACTAATAGGGGATCCTCCTGACTAAGCCTCCAGAGTGCTAACGTGAGCATGCACCATTGGTTCTCTGTGTGTTTGGGGCTGGTATGTACCCTAGTACATGTGCCCACAGTCCAGAAGAGGATACAAGACCCTCGAGCTAGAGACACAGGCCACCTAATGCAGGTGCTGGAAACTGAACTCAGCAGCACAGGCTCCTAATCATTAAGCCATCTCTTTAACACACCCCCACACACACACCAGTTTTTTGTATAGTTAAAAACTTGCCGGAGCCGGGCGTTGGTGGCGCAAGCCTTTAATCCCAGCACTCGGGAGGCAGAGGCAGGCGGATCTCTGTAAGTTCGAGGCCAGCCTGGTCTACAGAGCAAGCTCCAGGACAGCCTCCAAAGCCACAGAGAAACCCTGTCTCGAAAAACCAAAAAAAAAAAAAACTTTTAGGTTTATTTTTATTATTTTATATGTATGAGTGCTTTGTCTGCGTGTACGTGTGTGCACTACATGCGTGCTGGTGCTTGAGGACGTGGTGAACCTCCGTGTCAGGCTGGGAATCAAACCCGTGTCCTTTGTAACAAGTGCTCTTAACCACTGAGCCATCTCTCCAGTCTCTGTATTTAAATTTTTTTAAAGCATTTTGTTATAGCTAGGTATGGTGGTACATGCCTTTAATCTTAGTGTTTGAGAGGCAGAGGCCATTGGATGGATCTCTAAGTTCCAGGCCGGCCAGGGCTACATAATAAGGTCTTGTCTCAAACAAAAAAATAAGGCTGGACCGGGCGTTGGTGGCGCACGCCTTTAATCCCAGCACTCGGGAGGCAGAGGCAGACGAATCTCTGTGAGTTCGAGACCAGCCTGGTCTACAAGAGCTAGTTCCAGGACAGCCTCCAAAGCCGCAGAGAAACCCTGTCTCGAAAAACCACAAAAAAAATTAAATAAGACTGGCATAGTGGCACAGCCTTTAGTCTCAGGAGGCCGAAGCAGGCAGAGCTCTGTGAGTTGAAATCAACCTGGTCTATATAGTTCCAAGGTGGAGAGCCAGAGATCTCGTGAGTTCCAGGACAGGCTCCAAAACTACACGGAGAAACCCTGTCTCAACAAACAAACAAGAAAGAGCTGGCAAGTGGCTTCTTAGCATGCTCAAGGCTCGATCCTCAACCATGTATGAAGCCAGCATGGTGACACAGGCCTGTAATCCCAGCTCTAGGGAGGTAGGTGGAGGCAGGATAGTTAGTTCAAGGACAACCTAAGCTACACAAGACTGTATCTCAAATGTAAGTGTGTAATATGTGTGACACAGGCTCTGGGCTATGTAACCCAGGGAGGCTTCCAGTTTGCAATCCCGCCTCGGGCCTCCAGAGCTGAGATTACAGACCTGTGCCACTTACACCCAACTACCCGGTGATTTTGAAACGTTTCTATCAGGTAACCCAATTCGAGACTCATTTAATGCACGTGCAGAGCAACCGAGGAGGGAAATTTAGGTTGGAAGGCTGGCAGCAAAAAACATTGCTGGGGAGCAGGTGGTCCAATACGAATCTTACCCACTACTGGCACATGGTTGTTTGGAAGAGAAGGATGCTCACCCCATGATCCTACGCTCGGAGTAAGCCTTCCGCTTGTTGGTGAAGGGGGCGGCAAAGCCCATAAAGGAACGGCTGGGAGGTAGGCCAGCCTCAGCCGCCAAGACCTGGGCAGCGCGGGGCAAGAGGAGGTTACAGTAAATCAGGAACCTAGTGCCAAAAAGGAAAGGAGAGGCAGTGTCACGATTCTTTGTATTCAGACAGTTCCAGGGGAAGCGGAAGAGGGATGCATCACGGAGGAAGGTCGCTCGGGCAAGCTTTTCCTCCCCCTAGCACCTGCTGCAGCTAGCGGGGCTGGCTGGCTGGCCCAGCAGTCACGAGTGCGAAAGGTCGAGGGCGGCTGAGGACAGGGCCAGGGGTGGGGATGGGAAAAAGAAGGACACGTCCCCAGTGCCAGCTAGCTGCCTTTGGGGCAACGCTGCTGCAGCAAGCAAACGCGAAGCATCTCTATCCCCACGGTCCGGCCAGGCCCATCAATGCCAGGGGGCGCCCGCGATGGCCAACGAGTGGCTGGCACGCACCCACCCCGAGCCGAGCATGGCACCGGTATCTCTAGAGCTCCGTTCGGGCTCGCAGGTCACCACCCTCCTCCGGCCGGCCGCCCTCCGCCGCAGAACTTCGGGGCGCCGCCAGGGGACCCCTTCCCGCCCCGAGCGGATGGATGCCCGTGCCCGCCTCTCACCTCATTGGCCGCGGAGGGCCCGGGGGCGGGGGCGGGACCGCGCGCGCGCCCGGGCAGAGCGAGAGGCCGCGGCCGCCGCAGCTCCGGACGGCCGCGCGCGTCGGGGCCGGGAGCCTCCGCGCGCCCGCAGAGGCCATGCGCGCGGCCGTCCCGGGCACACTCCCGGCTGCGGCGAGCTGCGGAGGAGGCCGGGCGGGCAGGGCTCGCACAGCGCGGACTCTGCTCCGGCTAGCTCGCTGGGCACGCTCGCACTGACCGCAGCTCCGGGTCCCCTCACGTCACGGTTGCCGGGGATCGGGAGAGGGAGAGCGAGGGAGGAAGGGAAAGGACCACGCTGCCTGTCGGTAGATGTAGTTTCTTTGACACCTCTGCAGAGAAAGAAAGGGCGCTCTCTGGGTGCGTGTCTGAGCAGAGCTGTCGAGATGGCTCGAGGGGGAGAGAGAGCTAGGTCGCCTGGCACAAACTACTTGGCAAGTCTGTGGTCACAGGACCTGGTACGTAGGCGCAGAGGCGACGTCGTGGGCGTGTCGACGGCAGATGTCTGTAGTTGTCCCAAGGAACGTCTCTACCAGCCGGTTAGAGTTGGGAGGCCCTGCGCGACCCGGTGCCCTTCGCGGTGTCTGTTGCTGATTGACATCTTTAGAAAAGGATATTAACGTTGCAAGCTCTGGGATGACTTGAAGAGTCGTCCTCTCCCCTTCGCTCTACACTCCCTCCCCTTTCCCCCTTCCTCCCCCTCCCGTTATTCTAGACAAGATGTTCAGCTCCTTAGCCTGGACTGGCCTTGAATTCAAAGTCCTCCTTCACGAACGTCCCTAGGAGCGTAATTTTCCCTTAAAATTTATGAAAAGAGGTCCGAGGCTGAGGCAGGAGAATCGCCACAAGTTTAGGCCAGCCTGGGCTACATAGCCAGTTTTAGACTAGCCAGGTCTGCACATTGAGCCAAGCCCCAGGCTCAAACCAATCCAAACATAAGACATGTTTTGTTTGTTCTTTAAGACGCCAGCACTATGTGGGCCAGACAGGCTTGGAACTCACTCTTCAAGGTCGGTCCTCTCTTCCTCTCGGCTGCTGGGATTACAGACGTGAACCACAGGAGAGGAGCGCTTTGAGGTGTTTGTTTTGAGATGTGATCTTGGTCTGTAACCTGTGCTGACCTTGAACATAGGAATCCTCCTTCCCAGTTACTGAGATTGCAGCTGTGAGTCATCACAACTGGCTAAAATTTACTCTTTTAGAGAAAACAGCGATCATTGTCTGGAAACACGTGTACTCGATGGAGGATGAGACATCACAGGCAAAGCCCAACAGTGAACACCACTTACTACTTCCCATGATTCAAGGAGAAAACAGTTGCTCTTGATAAAAAGAACAAACCGGGCTGGACAGATGGTTCAGCGGTTAAGAGCACACTGGCTGCTCTTCCAGAGGAACTGGGTTCAATTCCCAGCACCCACCCGGCTGCACACAACTGTTTGTAACTCCAGTTCCAGGGGACCTAACAGCTTCATACACAGACATACACACAGGCAAAACACCAGTGCACATAAAATAAAATAAATAAATTATCTTTAAAAAAAGAAATTTGTGCCAGGTAGTGGTGACTGATGCTTTTAATCTCAGCACTCTGGAGGCAGAGGCAGGCAGATCTCTGTGAGTTCTAGCTCAGCCTGATCTACAGAGGGAGTTCTAGGACAGGCCCCAAAGCAATACCTGTCTCAAAAAAAGAAAACAACAACAACAAAAGAAAAACAAAGAAGAACAAGAAGAAGGAAAGAAAAAAATTTGCTGATTTGCTGAGATGGCTCAGTGGTTAAGAGCATTGACTGCTTTTCCAGAGGTCCTGAGTTCAATTCCCAGCAACCACATGGTGGCTCACAACCATCTGTAATGAGATCTGGTGCCCTCTGCTGGCCTGCAGGCAGACCATTACACACACACACACACACACACACACACACACACACACACCAAGAACAAAGGAAAAAGAAGAGAAACAAACTACAAATTAGAGACTAGATAAGTGCAAGAGCAAAATTATCCCCCGGAAGCCTGAATTTAAGGACGTTGGGACTGTCGGAGAGCAAACCCTTCGCTGTATTAATGCTCTCCACATTCATCTGAGCTTTGTCTGACAGCTGAACTGTGGCAGGGAGAAGACAGACCATCAGAGCTATGCTGTGGTTTTACACAAATGCCCTGGATTCTATCTCAGAGACAAGATGAGGCTGGCCTGATGGCTCTGTGAGTAGAAGTACTTGCTGCCAAGCTAGATATGAGTTCAATCCCCAGGACCCCCATGGAAAGAACCTTCTCCTCTGACCTACACACACACACACACACACACACCATACATATACACACATACCACATATATGTACACAAATATAACTACACACATGCATACATACACACATACACACATACCACACACATATTCACCACACATACACACACACCACACACACATTCACCATACATATACACACTACATATACACACATGCCACCCACACATACACACACCACACACACCACACACACCACACACACATACACACACATACATACACATACATATACATATACACATCACACATACACATACATACTACACACACACCACACATACCACATGTACACATATACACACATCACACATATACATACATACTACACACACACACCACACATACCACATGTACACATACACACACCAGATACACACCACATGCACACACACATACCCACACATCACACACACACACATATACATATATACATACACACACTTAACAAAAAGTTGTTTTCTTTTTTTTAATGAACAAATTAGTGTTTTGTCTCTTTATTTCGACTCCTTTTCTTCCACCTTCCTGGGGCATGAAACTGCAGATATGGGACGATTTCCTTTCTTGTCTTCTCACACCCTTCCCTCTAAGCCTGTGGAGATCTCATTCCCACGTCCCTTCCCGCTACAGCTTCGGAATCTCCTTCCATCGACTTCGAGTGTGGAGTTCTGATGGCAGATGACCTTGAAGGACCATTTGCTCCTTCCAGCGTCACCCTCTGGTCCGGACCCACCTCCTCTGACGTGGGAGACAGCTGCTTGGAGTGAGGTGTAAGAGCAAGTTGAGTAGAAGAGAGAAATTAACTGGGATACATTTCTGAACTGTGACCTCATTAACACTCTGCCTTACCAGAGCTAACTGCTTCAGAACCCCTGAGGTCCAGCAGCCCTGCAAAACCAATTTGCTTGCTGTTCTTCAACTAATTAAGTAGCTAATTACTTCCATTTAATCCTTGCCTGGTTCATTCTCTTTACTCTTGTTTTGTCCCTGCCATTCTACACCAATTATGTCCTTTAAGAGCTTCCTCCAGGAAGACTCTCTTGACTGACCCCAGGTCAGTGGTACCCTGAATACTGAATTCCATGTAAACAAGCATGTGTCCTATATTTTCACATTATTTCATATGTTATGTTTTCATAGGCTATAGACATTTCAGAAAGGCACACTTGCCATAATTTACAAGTTTCATAAAAACACAAACAACAAAAACCGTATGTTTTGTTTGGTTTTGAGACAGGGTCTCATTTAGCTCAGGCTTTCCTCAAGCTCATTGTGTAACCAAGGCTGACCATGGACTCCTGCTATTCCTCCTAAACCTGAGGTTACAGATTTGTGTATACCATCCGTGGCTGTAACTCCTCTCTTGTTTATTTTGAGACAAGTTCTTACTATATATTGCTGGCTGCCCTGGAACTTCATATTTAGGACTAGGTGAGGCTAGTCTTAAATTCCCAGAGATCTGTCTGTCTCTGCCTCCCAAGTGCTGGGGCTAAAGATGTGCCCACCACACTTTTTTAAATGTTTTTAAAAATGTTAACATTTAATTAACCTCCCTGGGTGATTCAAGCCAGGACACAGGCACCTCCAACACCCTTTATCTTCTCTTCAGCTCTTCTGCTGAAAAAATTGGCTTTCACCATGACAGGGTTAGGAAGCTTTCCATCCCCAGAATTTTGTAGTAGCCCGATCGCCAACATCAGAGATGGGAGCATCTCCAGTCTTGTTCTTGGCAGCAGTGACCCGTGTCTGCTCACTGACCAGTGTCCACAAGTTAGCCAGGTTGACAGTCAGGCAGAAGCTCTGGTTCCTCTTTAAGTGGTAATGCCTTATACCAACTTTACCAAAGTTACCTGGATGGTATTCGTCAAAGTTAATCTTGTGGTGATGCATGCCTCCAGCATTCCGGCAGCCTCCTGGATGCTTTCGGTGTTTACCAATGCAACCATGGCCATGGCTCACGTGGCCCTGGAGTTTCTGGGACTTCCTTCCTCAGTCTGGATGGCATGGAGGTGGCAGAAAGGAAAAACCTACCACACTTTTAAAACTCCTAAGTTTCTACCTACTGACCAGTTAGTGTAGTATATATATTGCATCTTTGCTAGTGTTGTGGGGTAGCACCCAGAGAAGGCTGCTCAGGCATGGGTGTAAGCCAATAGGAAGTCTTCATTAACCACCTGGCAACCACGCTGAGTGGTCAGGACCCCGGGGAAGCCCTGAACCTTCCTCAGGGTGAGCTTTATGTGCACAAAAACCATGTCCTGGTTGACATGCTTCAGTGAACAAGAACCGTTAGCTAGAACTACAGAAGTCAAAAGGCACAGTTAGTATATTTAGGGACTTTCCTAGAACTATGGACTTTGACAGATTAGGTCTTTGTTTTTGGCAGGTAAAGTATCTATGTACTGACTTTTATGGCCTGAATGGTACTTTCATCATCGAGTTGGTGATGCTAAGGCCTGGGATTCTACTGTTACATTAGGAGAATGAAAACCTGTTGGGGAAGTCCTGTTATTTGCCTGTGCATTTGTCAATAAAGTACTGTCTGGCCAATATAAAACCTAGATAGGAGGGACTAGGAGTCGAGGAGGATTCTGGGAAGGGGAAACACAAGAGAGTCAACATGTGACACCATGGGGGTAGGACGCCGGGAACTATTCTCCGGTAAGAAACATACTTAGATTAACAATTATGGGGTAATTACTTAAGGCAGAGCTAGCCAGTAAGAGACAAACAAGGCCAACAGCTTCATAATTAATATAGCCTCCTGTGTGTTTATTTGGGACTCATGCGGATCTAGAACCAGGCTGGCGCAACAGAGCCCAGGCGACTGGCGGGGGATAAACCAAAGCGGCTAGCAAAAGAAAAAGCTTCTCTTAACAAAACCCAGTCTAAAGAAAGACAGGGCAAGGCATGTTTGGTTCTGCACACCTGGGCCCTCAGAACTCAGAATGAATTTGAGGATAGTCTAGGCCATATAGTGAGTTTGAAGCTATCCAGGGCTACAGAGTAAGATTTTGTCTTAGAGAAAACAAAGAAAAAAAAAAGAGGAGGGGAAGGGAAGGAAGAAAGGGAAAGAGAAAAATATATTAACAGGTTAGGAGACAGAGAGAGAGAGAGAGAGAGAGAGAGAGAGAGAGAGAGAGAGAGAGAGAGAGAATGAGAACCTGAAGTTACCCAATTTACTTTTTTAACTTTTATGTGTACAGGTGTTTTGGCTGAATGTATGTCTTTGTGTCTGTGGACACACAGAGGCCAGAAGGGAACAGAGGGACAGTAGATCCTCAGATGGTTATAACCAGCTAGCACTCCTAAATGCTGATCTCCACATCCAACAATTTCTGGGTTTTGAGACAAGGTCTTAATGGACCAAGCTGGCCTGAACTGTCCTTGTAGTCAAGGCCGACCTTGAACTCCTGACCTTCCTACCTCGACCTCCCAAGGGCTAGGATCACAGGTTATGTGCCACCATCCCCAGCAAGTTCCACTGTGTTCACAGGTGGTCTTTGTCACCAGATCCACCCTCTTACCTTAGTTTCACTCCACATGTTCAATGTTACTAAATCATTTCCTTTATTTCTTTACTGGGAAATCCTTGTTCTGTCTCTGATACCAATAGAGCTAACTAACCTCCAGGCCTTCCTCTTTCCAGCTGCTCAGGGAGATTCAGTCCTGGCTCTTTTCCCCGGTCACCTCCACTCCTGAGCCAGGCCTCAGCACGTGACTCTGGCTCAACCCCTTCCTCAGGTTACTGAGAGCTATTTTGGGCAGTGGAGGATGTGTGTTCCTCTCTGCTTTGGGTCATTCCTAGCTCAGGCCTTCCTGGAAGGCCCATCACACCCAACGGCCAAGCTAACACCCAACGGGGCCGGCTAAAGCACTGGCATCCATGTGACCTTCAGCTATGTTCAATTTCTCTCTCCTCCTCCCACCTCCTCCTCAGATATAAAGAGCCTGTCCCAGATGCTGATTTTTTCTAGGCTTAGAAAACCAACTAACCAGAGAGAAGGACATGTGGGAGCAGGAAGGTTGAGTCAGGGGAAGAATAGAGGAGAGCAAGAAAAGAGACGCCATAATAGAGGGAGTCATTATAGGTTTAAAGAGAAATCTGGCACTAGGGAAATGTCCAGAGAGTTACAAGGATGGCCCCAACTGACAATCTAAGCAATAGCGGAGAGGCTACCTTAAAAGCCCTTCCCCAATAATGAGGTTGGTGTCTACCTTATATGCCATCCTAGAGCCTTCATCCAGTAGCTGATGGAAGCAGAGGCAGACACCCACAGCTAAACACTGAACTGCACTCCTGGAATCCAGTTATCATGGATGAATGGGAGAAACCCACAGAAACAGCTGACCTGAACAAGGGGGAGCTCATGGACCCCAGACTAATAGCTGGGAAACTAGCATAGGACTGACCCAGACCCTCTGAACATGGGTGTCAGTTAGGAAGCCTGGGAAGTCTATGGGGCCTCTGGTAGTGGATCAGTATTTATCCCTAGTATATGAATGGACTTTGGGAACGCACTCCACATAGAGGGATACTCTTTCAGCCTAGACACAAGGGGGAGGGTCTAGGCCCTGCTCCAAATGATGTGACAGACTTTGAAGATCCCCATGGAAGGCCTCACCCTCCCTGGGGAGCAGAAAGGGAATGCAATAGGGAGTTGGTGGGAGGCAGGGAGGAGGGGAGGGAAGAGGGAACTGGGATTGACTTGTAAAACATGCTTGTTTCTAATTTAAATTTAAAAAAAAGAAAAGAAAACCAACTAACCAGAAGACAGTTAACAACAATAAGCAATACTTACTGGGTGTGAGTTACTTTTTTTTTCCTTTCAATTTGTAATGCTGTGGATCAAACCCAAGACTTCACACATGCCAGGCAAACACTCTATCATTTATACAAACAACAACAACAACAAAAACCCACCCAACTTTTTTTTTTTTTTTTTGGTTTTTCTAGACAGGGTTTCTATGTAGCTTTGATGCCTGTCCTGGGACTCGTTCTGTAGACCAGGCTGGCCTCAAACTTACAGAGATCCTCCTGCTTCTGCCTCCTGAGTGCTGGGATTAAAGGCAAACACTGCATCCTCCTGGCCAAACACAACCATTTATACATTTATTTATTTACTTACTTATTGTGTATACACACAGCATTCAAAAGCATGTGTGGGGCTGGAGAGATGGCTCAGTGGTTAAGAGCACTGCCTGTTCTTCCAAAGGTCCTGAGTTCAATTCCCAGCAACCACATGGTGGCTCACAACCATCTGTAATGAGATCTAGTGGCCTCTACTGGCCCTTCAAGCAACATGCAGGTACAACACTGTATACATAATAAATACATAAAACTTTAATAATAAACAGAGCATGTGTGTATGCCATGGTCTGTGTGTAGTGATTGGAGGACAGCTTACAGAAGTAGGGTCTCCTCTTCCAATGTATGGGTTTCAGGGATTAAACTCAGGTCCTAAAATGTGGTGACAAGTGTCTTTATCCACTGAGATATCTTGTCCACAGCCTTTTAACATTTAGCTGTATCCTCAGCCTGCTGTTTCATCTTTATCTGGGTGTATGTGTGTGTCTGGGGAGGACAGGGAAGCACGTGAGTGCTGGTGCATATGCGGTGACCCAGAAGAGAGCATCAGACTCCTAGGAATTACAAGCCGTTGCCAGCCATCAATGTGGTACTGGGAATGAGCTCTGGTCTTCCGCAAGAACATGAGTGGTCATACTTAATACCCTGTCTTTTCAGCACTCTCGGCCCTCTGTTATTTATTTATTTACTTAGTTTTGAGACAGGACCTCACTAAGTTGCCCAGGCTGATGCTGAACTCCATCTGCAGCTCCCACAGGACTAACAAGGGTGATCTGCCTCCTCAGCTTCCTGAGTGGTTGGGATTACGAGTGTACCACCGCCACAATCAGTTCTGTATGTTGCTGAAGATTGAACCTGAGACAGACAGCATACATGCTCAAATGCTTGGGGAACAGTCTACCAACTGAACTACAACCCTAGCCTCTTTTTGTTTTGTTTTGTTTGTTTGTTTTTTGAGACAGGTTTCTCTGTACAACAGAGATCCACTTGCCTTTGCCTCCCAAGTGCTAGGATTAAGATGTGTGCCACAACTGGCCAACTAACCCTAGCCTCTTTTATTTTAAAATAATTTTCTTAGGGGCTGGAGAGATGGCTAGTGGTTAAGAGCACTGGCTGCTCTTCCAGAGGACCCAAGTTCAATTCCCAGCAACCACACTGTGGCTAAGAACCATTCACAATAGGATCTAATGCTCTCTACAACAGACAGAACACTCATGTACATAAAATACATAAATAAATCTTTAAAAACAATATATATATTTTAAATCCAGGTGATGGTGGTGGCTCATGCCTTTAATCCCAGCACTAGAGAGACAGAGGTAGACAGATTTCTGAGTTCAAACCAGCCTGATCTACAAAGTGAGTTCCAGGACAGACAAGGCTACACAGAAAAATTCTGTCTTTAAAAAAAATAATAGTAGGCCAGGAGGTGGTGGCGCATGCCTTTAATCCCAGCACTCGGGAGGCAGAGGCAGGTGGATCTCTGTGAGTTTGAGGCCGGGCTGGACCGACAGCCTCCAAAACAATACTGAGAAACTCTGTCTCAAAAAACCAAAAAAAAAAAAATAATAGTAATAGTAATAATTTTTTTTTTGGTTTTTCGAGACAGGGTTTCTCTGTGGCTTTGGAGGCTGTCCTTGAACTAGCTCTTGTAGACCAGGCTGGCCTCGAACTCACAGAGATCCGCCTGCCTCTGCCTCCCGAGTGCTGGGACTAAAGGCGTGCGCCACCACCGCCCGGGGTAGTAATAATTTTTTAAATTATTTATTTTTATCTCATATATATTAGTGTTCTCATGCTTGTATGCAAATGCACCAAGTGCTTGTAGTTAGTGCCTGAAGAGGTCAGAAGGCCTTGAATCACCAAACACTGGAGTTGCAGACAGTTGTCAGCAGCTACTCAGTTGCCAGGGGACAGAGTGGGTTCTCTCTAAAGACAGTATGATTTTTTCTTTTTTTTTTCTTTTTTTTTGGAGGGGGTTGGTTTTGGGTTTTCTTTTTTGGT